AATAAAAAAAGATGCTGGTGGCATGTTCAAGTCCTCCCACTAATTTCTAATTGAGTTTTTGTCACTTGCGCTGTCCACAGCAGCATTTTGAAGCCTTTTCCATGTTCTGGATCTCAATCCTCCCTCCAGCTCTGCCAAGCTCCCAGCCATCAGATGTGGGCTTATTTCAATTCCATCTCTGCCATGAAATGTCTGTTTCTTTGCCCATCTCCTAGTTTCCGGGCAGAGGCAGGTGTGCTCTTCCATTGATGGCAAAGACCTTCCTAATCGACATGATTAGCTGCTTGGTCTAATGAAAGCAGCAGGAAGGAACTTCCTGGGGTTGAGGGGTGGGTTAGCAGAAGTGGAGAAGACCTGAGTTGGGGCTCTGGGGCTGAGGGTAGAGGCCCAGCCCATTCCCTTCCCTATCATTGGTCATGTGGGGTTGCCGGGAGGATTCGGTTTAAAGAGAGAAGAATTCTATCACTTGGAAGAAATAAAGGAGCCCACCTGGAGCCTTCACAGTTAGGGGCTGGATAGATCGAGACTTGGGATGGAGTGAGCTGACAGAGTGAGTCTGGAATCTGGGATTGAACTGTCCCTATGACCTTAGAAAATGAAGAAGGGCAGGAGAGAAATGAAAATAAACGACATTTGCTGCATGCTCAGCATTGATCACGAGATCAGCTTGCTTTCCAAGCTGCTTCCTCATAGGCATTTGCTGCCTAGTGCCCCAGAATCACATAGCCCCTGTTATAAGATTATAGTTCTTTATAACATAATGATTTATATTCCTTTGGGAATATACCTAGTAATGGGATTTCTGGCCCTAGATCTTTGAGGAATTGCTACACTGCCTTCTGATAGACTGGGTAAAGAAAACGTGTTACATATAAACCATGGAATACTATGCAGCCATAAAAAGGAACAAGATCATGTCCTTGCAGGGACGTGGATGGAGCTGGAAGCCATCATCCTCAACAAATCAACACAGGAAAAGAAAACCAAAACACCACATGTCCTTATAAGTGGGAGCTGAACAAGGAGAACGCATGTTGGGGGGATGGGGAGGAGAACATCAGAAAAAATAGCTAATGCATGCTGGGCTTAATGCCTAGGTAATGGGTTGATAGGTGCAGCAAACCACCATGGCACACATTTAAGTGTAACAAACCTGCATGTCCTGTACATGTACCACAGAACTTAAAAATTAACATTCATGAAAAGGAAGCCAGGTTCTCTCTCTCTCTCTCTCACACACACACACACACACACACACGTGCAATTATAATTCCCCTTAATTGCCCTATTGACAACCTGAACAGTATAAAATGTTAAGTTTTCCCTTTGAGATAATCTTTAGGTTCCACATATCAATAAGACTACTGATGTCAGCTGGTCTGAAGGACCCCAAGGGAAGCTGACTTGCCAAAGAATGCGGTTTCCACATCCTAAATCAATATCCCCCATTTTTCAGTCTCTTGCCCTCCACAATCCCCTTAAAAATCCTAGCTCAAAACTACTCAGGGAATGGATTTGAGGGTTCCTCCCGTATGCTTGCTCAGCTACCCTACAGTCATTAAACTCTCTCTCTGCTGCAAACCCTCCTGTCTCAGTGTATTTGTCTGTTACTGAACAGTGAGCATAAGAACCTGGTGGCCCTGTAACAGAATGTCAGCAAGGGCATAGTTGAGGTGGCTGGACAAGGCGTGCAGCTTAGGCTGAGAGCAAAAGAGGATAGGGAGGGGTTGACAGTTTAGGGGAGATGGGGAGGCCCCCAAGGGGCTCAAGGCTGAGAGGAGGAGAGGGAGATTTAGGAGGTAGAAGTAATGCAACTGTGCAGTCAGGTCTTGATAGAAGAAGGGGGAGGAACTTGTGGATATGGCGCAATATAGGAGTGAGGGGTCTGAGGTGAGCCACAGGGTCTCAGGCAAACTCCTCCAGTCCTAGGATGCAGAGCAGGTAGCCTCAGGCCCTCAGTTTTCTCTTCCTAGACACCTCTGCCCAAATGCAATCAGGGAGGCTCTTTCCTGCATGTGGAAAGGCCTGTGGGTATTAAATATGTTCAACCATGACTTTGATCCTATCCAAGATTGGAAAATTCTTACCTAAACACGAATCAATGAGCTTGTGTCTGGGAACAAACAGCCGTGACATAATGCTTTATAAAAGTTCTCTGAGATAAAAATATCCAAAAGGGATTATGTAATAAAGGTCCCAGAGATCATACAAAAATGTAACATGCAAATTACAAAATAACAGCTTTTGTAAATGAAATAAGATAATAAATTCTAAGACACTTAGTGCAGTGCCTGGACTAACAGGCTCACACCTGTAAGCCCAGCACTTTGGGAGGCCAAGGCAGGTGGATCACAAGGTCAGCAGTTTGAGACCAGCCTGACCAACATGGCGAAAAACCCCACCTCTACTAAAAATAGAAAAATTAGTGGGGCGTGGTGGTGCACATGTGTAATCCCAGCTACTCAGGAGGCTGAGACAGGAGAATTGCTTGAACCCGGGAGGCAGAGGTTGCAGTGAGCTGAGATCGTACCACTGCACTCTAGCCTGGGCAATGGAGCAAGACTCTGTCTCAAAAAATAAAAAATAAAAACAAAAATTATTACCAGAGTTATTGGTTAGGCAATGGCTAGGTATGGTTAGATAATACCATAATTATTACCATAATATGACAATATGTATTGTTATGGTAATAATTATTATAATGGTTAATATAAGCCACTTAGTGCAGTATCTGGACTAATAATTATTGATGGTAATTAATAATGGTAATAATTATTAGTCCAGGCACTGTATTGACTTACAATTATTAATTAACCAATAAACATTAATAATTATTTGTAATAATTATAAATACCATAATATTCTATCATATAATTATAATTATTAAGTATTATAATTGCTATTAATCATTACATTAATTATATTAAGTATAAATAAGCTATTGACTAATCATTAAAGCATTTATTTTCTTAACGTTTAAGGTTTTGAGAAATAAAAAGGGCTTACTTAGAATTTACATTATTTCCCAGCATAGCCTGGCCTTTCCCAAATTACTAAGATCTATGACATTTCTCTGAACAAAACACTGATCCACCAACAAAAGCTCTTGTGGAAAATGAAATGATACCCGAAAATACCCTTCCCCACCCATCTCAAGAGTGCTCACAGGCATGTGCTCATGGGGCTTGAGCCCCACATGCTTTCATCCTGTGGGCACATGGTCCGTCAGCCTGGAGCGAGGTGCATTGGGAAGACCAGGTCTGCTGTTGTCCCAAGTTTCAGTCCCCACTCTCTGCCCTCCTCTCCTCACCCTTCCTCACCTTTGAAAGACCCCTGCATGTCCTGCTGGAAATGGCCTTGCTGTGACCACACCATCCTGCCCTTATAAGATCAGTGTGACCTGGCCGGGCACGGTCGCTCACAACTGTCATCCCAGCACTTTGGGAGGCTGAGTCAGGTGGATCATTTGAGGTCAGGAGTTCGAGACCAGCCTGGCCAACATGGTGAAATCTTGTCTCTACTAAAAATACAAGGAAAAAAAATTAGCCAGGTATGGCAGAACACGCCTGTAATCCCAGCTACTTGGGAGGCTGAGACAGGAGAATCACTTGAACCAGGGAGGCAGAGTGCTGAGATTGCGCCATTGCACTCCAGCCTGGGCAACAAGAGAGAAAACACTAACAGAAAAAAAAATCAGTGTGACCCCTACTCCAAACGTAGTCATTGATGCTATTTCCCTGTTGTCACAGCAGGGAGACCCAGGCAGCTTCAGGACCACAGCTGGGTTTTGTTTGATGCACATGGCATTTTTGCAACATTTAAATTTGAGTGACTTCAGAAAAGATCCTCGCTGTCTGCTTTGCAACAGTCTCCACTCCGCCCTCTCTTCCATTGTTTATGAGCTTGGAGTATACACCATCTCCTGTTCCCTCCTGTCACGGCCTTTCATGCTGGCTCCAGGATGCAGCCGCTGAGCCCAGACAGGGCTGCTGGGAGCCTGGGTTTGGATGGACAGTCCTGGTGCCTGGGACCGGCTCAGCCCCAAGCCCACTAGCTTCCCTCCACAGCGCTCACCGGCTCTAAGGGAGACAGCTCTGAGACCGCACAACCGAATATATCCTTCCAGCATCTGTGTGACACTTCCCAACTATATACTGACTTGTTTAAATGCTCGTTAAAAAAAAGAAAAGGAAAAAAATGTGGCCTCCTTAAGAAACGTCAGCATTGAACAGGAAAGTCACAGACAGCCTGCCAGATGATGTTTTAATGTAATTAGAAAGATTTTTTTTCTATACATCAGGGCTTAAAGCCACTCTGATTTTCAAAGTTGGAAAGGATGAAATCATTTTGCTTCCCAGGAATTCTCTACTGATTAGGAGATTAAGTAGGTTCTTTTTTTTTTTTTCTTTAAATTTTTTTCATGAATCCAAAAAAAAAAAACCAACCTTTTATGGGTCTCTTTTTTTGCACTCCAGAGAACCTTATTTCTTTTGTAACTACTTGGGTAAGTTCATGAGAGGACTCTGTCCCTGGTTTCTCTTTTTGGCTGCGCATTTGTGAACATAGAGGTCATCCACTCCTAAGAGTTCTGCGAAGCAGGTGTGATTATCCTGATGTTTATAGATGAGGAAACACAAGAGAAGGTTCGTCCCTTGCCCAAGGTCACACAATGGACTCAACCCGAGTTTGCCGACCGGCAGCCACAACCGAGAAAAGGCAAACAGCACAAAACCACACATCTAATCACACACAGACCTCAGAGAGCCTTGAGAGGAAGGACAGGGACAATTGGAGATTGTGCAAAAAAATGTAGGATTTGGAGGAAAAAGACAGAGAAAGTGAAACCCACCACATCTTAGCAAAAAGGACTGTTAACCTCAGCCCTGGATTTTGACTTCGGCACATATCAGCCCGGGAGGCTGTGTGTAAACTCATTTTTCATAGAAAGTGGAGCTTTGGCCTGTCCCAGACAGGGAGGGGGCGGCCGCAGGGGCACCTACCTCCTTCGAACTCTGTTTGGCAGTTCCCCGAGGTCTCATTCAGGCTCTCCTCCTCATTGATGATGATGTTCTCGATGTCCTTCATCGTTAAGTGGTCTCGGAAGGCGTGATAGAGAATGTGCTTCAGCTCCTCCAGAGTTATCCTCTGCATGTCGAACTGCGGAGACAAAGGGCAGCGAGGTGGTCAGGAGCAGGCGCACATGGGACGTCGGCTTGGCCATGACAGGCAAGACCCATGGCTGCTCTGCAGAAACTCGTCTCTGTGTCTCAGGATCTCAGAGGAGCAGGGTTCCATCCCGTGCAGCTCCAAGCATACTCGTGAACTTGCAGGGGCTTAACTGGGGCAACAGAGAGTGGAACATACTCCCTTAACTTCAGATTCTTGGAGGGAAGAAATGCCACCTCCCAGTCTGGTTTCCTGTTCACCCAACCATGTGCTGTCAACCCCCTGTATCTCATGTACTGTAGAACAGTGAAACCCTTCATACAATGCACATGTCTGTAAAAAGTTGATAATTTACCAACACACTGGCAATTCCCATATTGCTTTAAGTATGTATCTTTTTTTTTTTGAGATGGAATCCTGCTCCATTGCCCAGGCTAGAGTGCAATGGTGCGATCTCGGCCCACCGCAACCTCCGCCTCCTGGGTTCAAGTGATTCTCCTGCCTCAGCTTCCCTGGTAGCTGGGATTACAGGCACCTGCCACCACGCCCGACTATTTTATTTTTTTGTATGTTTAGTAGAGACAGGATTTCACCATGTTGGCCATGCTAGTTTGATCTGCCCACCTCAGCCTCACAAAGTGCTAGGATTACAGGCATGAGTCACCATGTCTGGCCTTATTATGTATCTCTTTTGAAAAAAATTTTGAGAGACAGAGTCTTGTTCTGTCACCCAGGCGGGAGTCCAGTGGTGTCATCATGGCTCACTGTAGCCTTGAACTTCTGGGCAGAAGTGATCCTCCTGCCTCAGCCTCCCAAATAGCTGGGATTACAGGCATGAGCCACTGTGCCTGGCCGTGAATCTTGTTCTAACAAGTTAAAACCACAAGTTCAAAGTCACGTTCATGAAGAAAAACTGCTGCTGGAGAGGTGCGGAACTCCTGCTGACCTCCTGCCCCTCCCCGAGAGAGGACTGGACTTTTCCACTCCATTTATATTGCGTTTGCTAGTGTCACCTTCCTGGCCAATGCAATGTGAGTAGAAGTCCCATATGCCACGTCCCATTCACAGCTTTGCGAATCATCCTGTGCTTGTAACATTTGTTCTTTCCCTCTGCTATGAGAATTGCATGCCCCAGATAGGGGCTGTTCCTTCAGCCTGGGTTTCAGAATAAGGCTAAAGTGGGGAGCACCTGCAGCTGAACCACAACTCACGACTCACGTCAGGAATACCCCATTTCCTTATGAGCCATTGAGATCTGGGGCTTGTTTGCTGCCGCAGCCTAACTTAGGCCATTGTTGGTCTATGTCAGAAATAGAGAAATTGGTACGTAAAACTAAGAGGCCAGTATAACCAAAACCCTAACAGATGACATAGGGGTTCCAGAGCCAGGCAGTGAAAGATGAGAAGACCTTGACTGGAGGCTGAAAAGACAGAGATGCCTGGAATGCAACAGCAAAACGTTTGGTAGAACTGCTGCCTGTGACACCTTGGAGGGCAGAGAGATACTGAATCCACGTCCTGTGGCCTTAGGTAAAAAGCTTGTGAAACAAAATGCCCCAATTCACAACTGTAATTAGTTATGTCCAACAGAGCACGGCAAGGAAGAGATGCACTCGGGAATGAATCGGTTGGTTTGCAAACCAAGAATAAAAAGAACCAGAAATTCCTGGTCTTGCAGCACTGAAAGAAGCAACTGTTTCTCTTTTCCTCACAATCACCCGTGATCTTCCTATCCCCCACATTTCTCAAAGCCCCCTTTTCAAATTTCTGGGGTTTTTTAGAGACAAGGTCTCACTCTGTGGTCCAGGCTGAAGTGCAGTGGCGTGATCTCTGCTCACTGCAAACTCCACCTCCCAGGTTCAAGTGATCCTCCTGCCTCAGCCTCCTGAGTAGTTAAGACTACAGACGCGTGCCGCCATACCCAGAAATTATTATTTATTTATTATTATTATTTTTGAGATGGAGTCTTGCTCTGTCACCCAGGCTGGAGTGCAGTGGCGTGATCTCTGCTCACTGCAAACTCCACCTCCCAGGTTCAAGTGATCCTCCTGCCTCAGCCTCCTGAGTAGTTAAGACTACAGACGTGTGCCGCCATACCCAGCAATTATTATTTATTTATTATTATTTTTGAGATGGAGTCTTGCTCTGTCACCCAGGCTGGAGTGCAGTGGCGTGATCTCTGCTCACTGCAAACTCCACCTCCCAGGTTCAAGTGATCCTCCTGCCTCAGCCTCCTGAGTAGTTAAGACTACAGACGCGTGCCGCCATACCCAGCAATTATTATTTATTTATTATTATTATTTTTGAGATGGAGTCTTGCTCTGTCACCCAGGCTGGAGTGCAGTGGCGTGATCTCTGCTCACTGCAAACTCCACCTCCCAGGTTCAAGTGATCCTCCTGCCTCAGCCTCCTGAGTAGTTAAGACTACAGACGTGTGCCGCCATACCCAGCAATTATTATTTATTTATTATTATTTTTGAGATGGAGTCTTGCTCTGTCACCCAGGCTGGAGTGCAGTGGCGCGATCTCTGCTCACTGCAAACTCCACCTCCCAGGTTCAAGTGATCCTCCTGCCTCAGCCTCCTGAGTAGTTAAGACTACAGACGTGTGCCGCCATACCCAGAAATTATTATTTATTTATTATTATTTTTGAGATGGAGTCTTGCTCTGTCACCCAGGCTGGAGTGCAGTGGCGCGATCTCTGCTCACTGCAAACTCCACCTCCCAGGTTCAAGTGATCCTCCTGCCTCAGCCTCCTGAGTAGTTAAGACTACAGACGTGTGCCGCCATACCCAGCAATTATTATTTATTTATTATTATTTTTGAGATGGAGTCTTGCTCTGTCACCCAGGCTGGAGTGCAGTGGCGCTGATCTCTGCTCACTGCAAACTCCACCTCCCAGGTTCAAGTGATCCTCCTGCCTCAGCCTCCTGAGTAGTTAAGACTACAGACGTGTGCCGCCATACCCAGCAATTATTATTTATTTATTATTATTTTTGAGATGGAGTCTTGCTCTGTCACCCAGGCTGGAGTGCAGTGGCGTGATCTCTGCTCACTGCAAACTCCACCTCCCAGGTTCAAGTGATCCTCCTGCCTCAGCCTCCTGAGTAGTTAAGACTACAGACGTGTGCCGCCATACCCAGCAATTATTATTTATTTATTATTATTTTTGAGATGGAGTCTTGCTCTGTCACCCAGGCTGGAGTGCAGTGGCGCGATCTCTGCTCACTGCAAACTCCACCTCCCAGGTTCAAGTGATCCTCCTGCCTCAGCCTCCTGAGTAGTTAAGACTACAGACGTGTGCCGCCATACCCAGAAATTATTATTTATTTATTATTATTATTTTTGAGATGGAGTCTTGCTCTGTCACCCAGGCTGGAGTGCAGTGGCGCGATCTCTGCTCACTGCAAACTCCACCTCCCAGTTTCAAGTGATCCTCCTGCCTCAGCCTCCTGAGTAGTTAAGACTACAGACGTGTGCCGCCATACCCAGCAATTATTATTTATTTATTATTATTTTTGAGATGGAGTCTTGCTCTGTCACCCAGGCTGGAGTGCAGTGGCGCGATCTCTGCTCACTGCAAACTCCACCTCCCAGGTTCAAGTGATCCTCCTGCCTCAGCCTCCCAAGCAGCTGGGATCACAGGCACCCACCATCACATCCAGCTGATTTTTCTATTTTTCATAGAGACAGGGTCTCGCTATGTTGCCCACCTCAGATTCCCAACAAGCTGGGATTATAGGCGTATGTCACCACACCTGGCTGGTTTTTGTATTTTTACTGGAGATGGGGTTTCACCATGTTAACCAGGCTGGTCTCAGACTCCTGACCTCAAGCAATACTCTGGCTTCAGCCTCCCAAACTGCTGCGATTACAGGCACGGCACCAGAAGCTACTGTTTCTCATCTCCACTAGTAAGAGATAAAGAAATGCGTTAAAATACAGCCCTATTAAAGCAAGCCAATGCCTCCTGAAAACATCTCTGAATGCATTAAGGGGCTCTCCTAGGAAACCTCTTATCAAGTTTAGAGAGAGGTGTGTCTCAAAAATAATTGCGGATGTGGTCATTAGCATAAACGGATTGGGCTCAGATAAAATATGACTCAGTCCCTGAGAGAGCTGTACTGGCCAAGAGCCAACAGTGTTAGATTGAAGACGCTGTGACTGTTCCAAGCGTAAAAGATCTCTGGGTTTCCCAACCTATGTGCCCAGGAAATTACGAGGGTAAGATACATGGGTGCCAGGAAGCGTGTCCTGCCCAACGCCCTCAGAGGAGAAGTATAAGAATAATGGGAAGGCCGGGTGCGGTGGCTCAGGCCTATAATCCCAGCACTTTGGGAGGCCGAGGCGGGTGGATCACAAGGTCAAGAGATCGAGACCATCCTGGTCAACATGGTGAAACCCCATCTCTACTAAAAATACAAAAATTAGCTGGGCATGGTGGTGCGTGCCTGTAATCCCAGCTACTCAGGAGGCTGAGGCAGGAGAATTGCCTGAACCCAGGAGGCGGAGGTTGCGGTGAGCCGAGATCGCGCCATTGCACTCCAGCCTGGGTAACAAGAGCGAAACTCCGTCTCCAAAAAAAAAAAAAGAAAAAAACCTCCTCACCCCAAGGTTTTTGTCCGACAGGGTTTCAGAATTGCTCTGAGCCTCTGACCACTATGGGTGTCCCACTTTTTGCTTTCCAGATGGGAATGTTTTCGATGGTTGCCTGACCCTGGTCCACCCCCGCACGTCAAGTGTGCGTTTGCGTCCGGCGAGAGTGGGGAGTGATCTGTCTTTTAGTTTTTGTTTTCAGACCAAGAGGGGCCACACCCAGATTTGATGAGCATCATGAGACTCTAGAGCTTGAGTCAGGTGTTATAGCTGGCTGGGACTTTGGGGGTGTATCCCTGGGGGAGGGGAGGAGTGTATTTTGCAGCTGAAGAGAGGGAAATGAATGTTGATGAGCAAGAGCGTGGACTGCAACAGGGTCTGCTATTCCCAATTAC